TTATTTAAAATAAAATGAATAATTAAAAAATTAATGATTAAATAGCCTTATTCCGGGTAAGCGTTACAGAACTTTATTTACAAAATGAATTCCTAATAGCAGTGAGTAGATAAACTTTATTGATTGTATGATAAATATCTTTTTAATTGATAAATTGTACCATAATTTATTGAATATGTTTTAGAGTAATATACTATGTATAATATGTATGGTTTAAGAATTTGATAAGGTTTACTCTATCAAACGTGGTTATTACAACATACTATCAATGAAAACAATTTTGTGTATTTACGTTTTCAAGCAAAATGTTTTATTGCACCAATAATTATTAATTTTTTTGTATATTTTCAATAAAAATTCTTTGTTGATGGTTTAAATCGATAAGACACACTTATATTACAGGAGTATTTGACATTATAATAATAATACATATTATATATTAGGCATAGAAATGTGATTAATTTTTTTCCTAACCTAGCAAATAGGATATGTTGACATATTTTGTTTGATGAGACCATGAAGTTAGTAAGTACCACAGTTATCTTATCGATAGTATCTTAGATAATCGTGTTAGGTACCTTAAAGGAATATCTTTATATAGTGGTATAATAGTGGTAATGTCATCGACACGGGCGAGTTTGAGTTCAGAGACTTTATCGGGTCGATAATAAATATAAAAAACGTATTAACAATACATATAATATTATAATATATAAAAAGAAACGTTTACGTATTTGCAGCAGGCAGGTAACTATATGTATAATATTGACAGTAAAAAAATGGTCCGGATAAATCAATCTTATTAGTCGCGCGCGCAGTATATATCACCAACTACCAACACATTACGCTATACCTATATACATATAATAATAATATAACCCTTCTATATAATAATATATATCTTATGTAGTAGTGGTGGTATGTGTGTGTGCGTGTGTAGTGGGTTTTGATTTCTCTCGCGCGTATTACAATAAAATATATATACCTCACGTGTGTGTAACCTTTGTACAAATAATATAAACACTCCGGATGAGTAGGCATGTTCTCGGTATATTTTTATTTTATTTTATTTTGTTTTTTTTTTTCTATTTTGTTTTCTTTATTGTACGATCGGACGTTTGAGGAATCATTTGTCATCTCCTCTCCTCTCCAGGGACACCGACCGCGATGTGTTTTCTACGTTCCATACAAGTGTGAACTACTCGACCTTGCGGCCATCGACCAATATTACGATCAATTTTTTTTTATTTTTTATTTTTTTTTTCACCATCATTATTATTATTAATGTAATAATTCGTATTGATCGAAACACGCGGAGGTTTGACCCCGAAGCGTTACATGTTTGAGGTCATCAACACCGAAGAATTATCGAAACCGATTTTTTATCTGCAACAAGACTACCTATATATTCCCAGAAAAATGACTTTTTTCGCTATGAAAGTCCCATATCGTGTTGTCTAACTAGCACCTTGTAAACCAATCGAAACTAATCCCATATCCAAAGCAATACTGCACTATTACTAATACGTTTATAATATCATGCTTACAAATCATACAATTACACGCACATTTTACGTAAATAGTTACATATTATTGTATCGTCTTAATGTCAACAATGACTAGTGATATGAAAAGTGGTATTAAAATTATTGAATAATTATTAAAACATATTAGTAATAGGAACTCACAAATGTTTCTTATTTTATTCTATATATAAATTAACAATCTTCATTATAATACACTGTGTGTACAAGTCATATATACCAATGTCATTATTATTTTAAAAATAATTCTAAAACAGATTCAAGATTTTAAATATTATCAAAACACCTAAATGAACTATATTTTTTAAATAAAAAATATTGGTTAAAATAATGAAAAATAATTATGTTTAAATATGTTTTTATCTTGGCTAACCAGTCGATATAAAATAAACTCAAATACATATATTATAATAAAACAAATTACATGATTTTCATCGAGTATATTATGTTAATGAAAATTTGAACTAAAATTTCCCAACAAAACCTATACTATCCAATATCCATACTTATGAACTGTTAAGTATTTAAATTTATTTTTACGTTTCAATTACGTTGAGTAAAATTATTCAAAACATACCTGAGATTCTTATCTTCTTGTTTTATTATTTAAATATATATATATAAATTAAATTTAAAAACTATAGTACAACTATTTTTACATAAGCCAACTAACTTATTATATTCTAGATTTGTTAACAATAAGACTAAAAGACTAAATTAAAAAAATATATGTATAAAAATTTGTACGTACACAAAATACCCTAACAAATCTCGATTCTGAAGAGTTCTTGTAAACAAATAAAAAATAATAGTATTTAAATACCGATTTGAAGTATAACAACTTATAGCGTTTTTAACAGATATGAATATTATGTGTAATATATTATAATTTATAAGTTATGCCCAATTTTTTGTGTAGATAACATTTGACGATACACTAACGCTTTATTATATTATATAGTAGATTATATTATTCTCGAGTTTTTCGTTTAAACACTAACAACCGTGTAATAATAATAAAGTAAAAGACAAACCTACTGCAGAAGACCACCACTGGCGTAGGTAGAAATTAATTCCGTTGTCGTACGCCATATCGACTGGCAGATTTATTGGACGGTACGTGCCGTTTAATTGGGCCCCGTGTAGTTTTTTTTTTATATACGCGCATATAACGAGCGAGTTTTCAAGTTCTTCTGGGTTTTTTGTTTAATGTTTTTGTTTTATTTGTTTGTTTTTTTTTTTAAATATCAGTTTTAAAATCCAAGCGCGTGGGTAGACGCCGATATTGTGACAATATTGGCAGTCAGCTTAAGTTTCATGTAGGTAGCGGAAAACGTTGTTAATAGTAAATTTGTTAATAACTCAAACTACATATCGTTATATTATATTATACAATGGTAATGTGGTATTATAGACTACAGAAAATCATCGTAAGCCGTTTTAATGGATCGAACGAAACTTTTCCAACCATTCTTTAACGATATTTTATGAGACATAATATCATATTACGAGAGAACAAAATAATATAATACACAAAAATATAATATACTCACGAGATTTAAACATAATTTTAAATTTTAATATTGTCAATGCAGCGTTTTAAAACTATAAAAGTTATCTTCTAATATTCATTCGTATTAAGCATAAATTCGTTTGTATATTAACACACGCGCACATCTAAAATAATATATAATTAATTATAAGCTTAATCATTTTTTTAGTATTAATAATCATTGAAAATCTTTAAATAATATTTTACTACACGAGTTTTGAGCCGGAATTTTGTACCATAAGGTTATTTTTTGTGTATTATTATTTTTTTCTTTTTACTGACAAATATTTATCTTCCTCTACCTCACAAAAAAGAAAATATAAAATAATAATAAAACACCATACAAAATCTAGAGACAAATAAGCGACACCATATATAAAGCCCTTGCGATATTAGTTTCGGTTAAATAATATACAAGATTATATACATGCTACACAACGCTACACGCGGGGGTGGCGGCGGAATATAAAAAAAAAAATCGTCTTGGCCTACAGAAGTCACAGTGTCACATTAACAGGTGCGAGGCATTGTGCCACGGTGTCTTCAACGGGTATCTTCGAAACACGTCTAATTTTATGATTTATACGACCGGCCGCTTCTGTCTTCTCGCGAGGCCTTCTATAAATCACTGAGCGACAGAGAAAATAAAATAAAAACAATCTTTTTTTTTTAAACCTGTATGCACAGTGTGCATACAGGTATATTTACCCGAGTCAGGTTGAAAATTCGGCCACTTCTGCGGGGGTCATAAATTTTTAAATAAACAATAATGTCAACAGCGTGTATACGAGATGTATATGGACACCTTCTTCACACTTTGGCCAATAATAATTGTTTGTAAAGAGGCGTTAATGATAAACACGCGGCTCCCATAATATAATATTCTCGCGCCGCGACCTCTCGAAATCGCTTTACAATAGGTACATCAAAACACACCAATAAACACTTTTATTTAATATAATATATTTTTCTACCTTTTTTTTTCGTCATGTCTCCGAGTGACAATAAGGCGTAGTGTAACCGATCGTTTGGCCACACCGGTGTTGATTTCAATAAATAAATAATTGCAGAAGTGTTCTTTTTTTTATATATATATATTATTGTTATTATTTGAATTGTTCACCAGTTTCAGACCTCTAATTGTGCTCATTAATGAATTATGGTTGGGTTTACATTGCATTAGGGAAATTATACATTCGGTTCTCGACAGAAGAGGAGTTACACTCTTTGTTAAATATGAACAGTAAATGAGCATAGGAAAATAATAATAACATATAATTTCGCTCATATACGGTAAAATATGTGTGTTCAGTATTTACCGTGTGCAAGTACAGTTTTTCAAATGAAGTTATAAATGTTAATTTTTACGTATAGCTTAGATGATTGTAAAAAAAAGTATACAATTCACGTGCTAATATAATTAAAACTATAGTAAATGATACTTTTATGAGTTTTAATATTTTAATTTATTATTCTTAAAATAATATAACACCCCGATTATCATATTTTAATTATAATCTATAAATTATTTTCACTGTACTTTACCTAACTTAACCAGTTGGGCTACTCGATATAGCATTTACGTAGGTATAGTATTTATTAAAATTTCTTATATTTTCAACTGCATATTTAAAGTTTAAAAAGAATTTATTCAAACGTTAAATCATTTTGACTGTTTTTAACTTAAGTTTAATATGAAGAGTATCTATAGAACATGTGTATAATAATATACGATATTTATCAAATAATATGATTTATTATTCTATTATATAATCTTAATAACGATCAAACACAGTACCTATAATATTATTATAATATATACCTATACTATTTACACGTTATATTGCATAGTGTTTTGTTTTATAAACTTATTAAACTGTGTAAAATTCTACAAAATAATTTACCTGGCATAGTCCTGTCGGCAATAAATTGAATCATCTTTAATAAAACACGACGGTTCATCTTCTAATACCAAATTGCACACACAGCATCTTAAACAAGACACATGCCAAATTTTGTCAGAAACCTTCAATAAAAATCTATCCGTAATTGGATCTGAGCATCCTCGACACTGCAACGATTCAGTCTAAAACAAACAAACATAACATATGACTTATTTGTATAGAATATTTAATTAAATTGCAATATTGTGATAAAATAATAATACAATGAACCGTTTAAATAACAAGTATTTTATTATTACTCTTTTAAAAATATTAATACTACAACTGCATTATTATTATCTAATTCATAATTAAACAATCCATTAATATTTATTAATATATTTTTTTCCAGACAAAATATTTTAATCATTATAAAGTAAGGATGGGCCATGCGCCTACGCACAACTCAAAATTACTAGAATTACTAGAGAGCCAATTTTCAAAAAATTAAAATCTAGCAGGCCAGAATATAATAAGCAGAAAAAAAAATGGGTCATTTAAATTATACATTTTAATTGTATTTATTTTGTTTATAATGTGAAATTTTAACTTTAAAATTGTAATATGATGTAATTTGAAAATGTGGCACGGGCCAAATAAAAAAGGCTCTCCAGCCCCCAGTTTCTTACTCCTGTTATAAAATACCTAATATATTTTCGAACTGTGTTTTTATTCGATAATATTCTTATTGCTTATAAGCTTATCATTAATATATAATAAATTATAAGTAAAGCTATCACTGTTTAATCTATTGGTACTAATTATTAAATCATTTGCCTATTTAATTTAAACAAGATTTTTGTATGATCCCGATTTACATGTATACAAATACATAGGAAAAAATACGTTTATTATAATATAGATTCACTTTATTAGTTAATGACGTCAACAAGTATTTTTGAAGGCGTATTTCCACATTTTTAAATTTTTGAATTTTTACGATTCTAATTGTTTTTCAACTTTCAACTTCAAAAATTAATGGTTTTTAAAAATATTTTTTTTTTTCATATAATTGCGAAGTCATTACAAAACAACATTTTTGAAAAATAAATACCTATTTGTGTTCTTTATTTGTAATTATCAATTTTCGTGTCTTTTTTTATATATGATAATAAATAGAAATATATATATATATTTTAAATACACAAATAAATAAATATTTAATTATGAATATTTATTAATAAATAACTGACTTTAATTTGTGTATATCAGTTTGTTCTTGGATCTTCCGCCTTGAGAACTGATTCAGTTAATGAACTTAAAATAATTTGGTCTCAAAATAAGCCCGACAGAGACTATTGCATATTACTTATACAAATCAATTTCTAACACAAATTTTTATCGAAATATAGATATTTCATCCAAACAGTAATCAATTTATATCCATAAACTGCTATTGAAGATTAAAAAGAAAACAAACTTTCGTATCGATATCATGTTACACTCGCGTAATTATATGTATACTTATAAAGCTTGGTAGTATTACAATTTACAATAGGATATCTTGAATTGACAGAATTTAATAAAATTATTGTATTGCTGTGACGTCGTCATATAATCGATTAAAAAATCTTATACAAATATAGTAATAGTACGCAATATAATTATGATAATCGAGAAAAACGGTAGACCATAATATAATTATAATATAATGAGAAAAAGATTATAATATACTATGCGCATTTATGGTGTTAAGTTGGTGTAGGATACTCAGATTACCGATATAGAGTATATATATATTTATATTATATGTACGCTGAATAATATAATAATTATTATATATGCTCCCCCCCCCTGGTGTTTTTTAGTACAAACTGTGATGTCACGGTATAGTTATTGGTATTGGACGTTCGTATAATAATAATATAAATAGCTTTTTTTTTTAATACGCATATATATATGATACGCGCGTAATTTTATTATATTATTATGCATATTATGTATATATTAATATATAAATCGGCGGGTGGTTAAACTATTCGTAACTACCGAGCAATGCATCTCATCGGTGAGCGTACCTACCTATAATCGTGTGTATAAATGGATATAGTCACACAGGTTATTATTTACGATTTCGCGTTTGTCCGATAATAAATCGACAGACGCACGTCGATTATAATAATAAGGCCCATACAATTCAGTGGTGTTCCCATAAATAGAGTATTATAATACGGTATGACGCATACCTACTATCACGCATCTATTTATTTAAAAGCTGTATAGGGAAACTTGCAATTTTGTGTGTCGTAACGCACTTTAGTAAATCGACTTTTTCATGAAAATTTTAAAGTTTTTTATGAATCGAAAATATTATCTCTATACACTCGGTGAAATATAAAAAATAAATTTAACTAGAGAACACTTTTTCACAAGAAAAATGCTCGAATTTTATTTCATGTAATTTATCACTTTTTTTATCTTACTTTGGAACTTTGTTTAAAATGATATAATTTTCAATTAAATTACATATTAAATACTTGATATTTTTTCTAATAAGTCGCAAGAACTGATTTAAAAATTTTGCATGTTGATTTGTGTAATACGTATAGTATACAAGGGCGCCCATAGAAAAATTCTCAAGGGGGGGGGGAGAAAAATTTTAATTATGTCCACGAGATAGGAAGGGGTTTACAATTAAACATTATACTATTATATTTTATATATCAAACTGGAAAATTATGAAATAATAATTATTTAACCAATTACCCATAAAAATTATTTATTGAATTTTCATTTAATTAATAACATAAATTTATTAAAATATTAATTTACAAATAAAAATTGTAAATTTCTTTTTTTAACACCAAATATATTTATTACTTATTCTATATATTCATTCATTTTATCATCAATTTTTTCCTATGTACGCTTATCATACATAATCCATCAAATCTATTTTCAGTCTTCACTCATTGTAGATCTTGTGTAAACAATTTTTCAACATTTTCCAGGGGGGAAATGTCCCTCCCTTGCCCTCCCATATGGGCGCCCTTGATAGTGTATACACACTAATAAATAAAATATTATTATTTTATCAGCTTACAATATTAAAAAGAATCTGTAGAGTTTGCTTCTTTGAGAAGTACCTAATGTACCTATGAATTTATTTACATAATTAACTGATTTTTATTAAAATTTTAAACATTTTTAAAAAACATTTTTTTTTCAATTATTGATTATTGACTCCTTTTCTCATCTATTAACCATCATTAAAATATCAAATATCCATATTTATATAAACATCGATTATTATTGACGATTGTGTTGATAGATCACTGCTGCTGCTATCATATTTTTTACGACCCACAAAGGATGAATGTATGAAACCTAAATAAACACAAACATTTAATGGCCATAATTTTGAAGTCATTACCGAATACGTTGATATAGGTAATCAAAATAAAATGATCGAATTAACTGCAATTAACGCGTGTATTTACTTTTTATAATTAAACATATAAATCATAATGTTATATTATATTTGTTAGTGCTTGATAAAAAAACAAATGTTTTGTTATAAAAATCTGATTTAAGTGGTATACATTAAATATGTATAATGTATATACCTACTGCATTATAATTAAAACATCAAACTTGAAAATAAGACATTTGTTTTAGAGTTTGTTTAATAAAAAAAAAAAAAAAAAACTCTAGGAAAAATATTCAATTTGTTTGCTCGCATCAAAACATTATCATGTCAAACAAATGTTAACAATAATTCAAACGTTCAGCGCGCACAAATAAATATTGAATTTTATCGGAGATTTAAAATCCAAACTTGTATTAGTATAATATACGTGTACGGCTATATCAACGTCATATATTATACAATAATCACTATGCAATACGGTTTAGAACAACTTTGTTTTACCTGTATTATATATGACGTATGATCAATATGCATATGCGGTCGACGTTTATCGCGTATACGAATGTGCTATTAGACTGTTATGGTTAGCATATTGAATATTAGACAGACAGATTTTTGATACAAAGTATATAAACGAAAATAAAAAAAACCTAATAATATATAATAAACGATGATAGAACGAGGGGCATAAAATCCATAAATTTGGGGAAAGGGGGTGGCACGACGACGTCCCGTAGTCACGAGACGTGTGTATTATATACAATATACGTATATTCGCCGAGACTTATAACACTATTTTATCCGTTCAAGTTTTTTCGATGATCCAGCTGCGGTGTTTCAATTATTTACACGCGTGGCATATTATTATATTAAGTATATATTCACGTCTGTCATATACCTACATATCACGAGTGCAGGCGCTACATTTTGATCGGGCTCGAGATAACGCGCGCCTATCCATAAAAACGAAAACAAATTACCGCAAAGTCCGCACGTGTATATTTAAATAATTATTTAAAGGTAATAATAATAATATACATATATATGTATATAGATAATATAGGTACGACTTACTGTTGTATTATTTTTTCACTCAGACACCGTCATTGTACAGGTAGGTTACATAATTACATTAATAAGTATATTAGCATTCTGTTTAGTGACTTCGATATGTAAAACAAACGGAAAAAATAAACATGATAATATAATATATAATATATATAAAACCATTAGGTACGTATTGGACCCCCGCGGATTCTGTGTATAAAACAATATTAACACGTCACATTATATCGAGGCAGGTATGTAGCGCAATGTATGTTGTGCGGTCGCTATAGAAGAAACGCATAACGATTTGTATTTAAACTCTCTCTCCCTCACGTTTAAAAAAAATATAAAATAAACTAAAAAAATATTATTTAATGTACCTAATGCTACTATAATTAATATGAAAAAATGTATAACCAAGGCTTATTAATTATGTTTAGACTATTTAATTAAGTACATATAGCTCTTCTTATAGTGGGTTATGTTATCTAAATAATAAACAAAGTAATATGGTTTTAATAATCAGGTTATTTTAAGAATTCGAAATCTTATATACTGAATTATAAATCAACCGAGCCCCAAAATTAAACCATTTAAAAGTATGATATTAATCATAACTCTTCTTTTAATAAGCGTAAATAAAATAATTGCCATTGAAATACACTATTATTTATGGTGTTTGTTCAATACCTATAGATCAGAAAACTATTATCAAAAATCAATTTT